TTTTCGCATCCGAGGCTGCTAAAGTGCTGCCAGGCTCGAATTCCCTAAAATTCCTGAAGCCTGAAATGCGAAAACACTGGCAGGGATCAAATGTCCCCAAAATTCCTAAGATCCTGGCATCTATGGGGAATGCTGGGCTATAGTTGCTCAGATTTGGGGAATTTTGGTGAAATTTGATCCCTGCCGAGGTTTTCGCATTTCAGGCTTCAGGAATTCTAGGGAAATTTGATCCCTGCCGATGTTTTCGCATCGGAGGGTGCCCACGTCCCATAATCCACAGCTTTCAAAAAGCAGGCTCGGGTGGATCATGGGGGGGGCGTGAGCATATATATATATATATATATATAGGGGCCATAGTGGCACATTGCCCATATATTGCTGCTAACTATTACAGCTTCTGACCTCTATCTTGCATGGTGCAGAACACTACGACAGCACGTCGTTTCGGCCTAAGCTGCAAATCATGAAAACCCAGCTGCCATTCTACGTGTAACATGGGGTGCAATTCATGGCACCCAAAAGCCCCACAACCCCTAGACCCTCAAGCCGTACATCCCCTAATCTACTGCCGACTTCGAATCAGAAGCAATCACCAAAAACACTCCATCAGCCAAAATTCTCGAAATCCAAGAACCCCGACGCCTCCCGCAATCTCATCAGATCGCAAATCTCGAAACCCGAAACCCAAGATCCCGAAGCCCCACCCCACACATATCAGACCCTAAATTTCAAACCCAGGGTCCGGAAGACCCCAACAAGCCCTAAGGCCAAGCCTGCTGTCTCGTCTTCCAGGGGTGGTGGGTTCACATTGCCGAAACCCTGCTTGCAGGTCAGCTCAATTCTGCAAGGCTTGGACGCTTAAGCTTTCAGGATGCTTGAGATTTAATGGGGTTTAGGCCTCATAAGTAAGGTCTACAGAGTCTCGAGAGCATGGTTTTTCAGGCTTGGAATTTGAGGGCTGAGGGTTCGGGCTTAGGCGTGAGAGCCTTGTGCACTGATTTAATTCGTCCAAAACATTTATTTCGTCCAAAACAGGCCTTGTCGGGCTTTGAGACAGAGCTTCCACTGAGGGGTTGGGAGCGGGTGTCCAGAATGGGCCATCACGGGAGAAGTGTCGTGCGGAAGCTTGCTACAGTGCCATACAGCTTGCGACCCTATAACCTTGCGCAATCCCTGAGCCTGCAGAGTCTCAAAGCAAACCCAAAACGACGCCAAACACCCTGGGTTACAACGAAAACACGGGGGGGGGAGGTAGGAGGGACAGTCTGGCCTGTGATTGTGAGACCTTCGAAATCGACCCTCGTGCGCCCCATAGCCTACACTTTACAATCCCTAGCAAATTGTAGGGCTTCACGCCCTCGCAACTCGACTCAGCCACGGGATCACTCGAACTGCAGTTGCACAGGAGTGAGGCTGTGGCTCAGGCGTGGAAGTTCTTAAAACAGATAATGTTCAACAAGGAGGAAACAAAGCCGGGAGACTCTACCCGAACCATGTCCCAGGAAGCATTGTGCGGGGTGTGTTGCCTTTGCTTTTCCATGAGTTGTAGCTGAAAAGAGCGGAATCCAGGACCAAATCCAAAAAGTACGGAGCAGCACGGTCACAGAAAGACCTACTCGATCAATGCACAATGCAACGTCTACCCCCAACATTGCTAGCCCTCCAACACCGCACCGGGCCTGAACAGTTCACACAGCGAGGCTACCGGGAAGTTAACATGTGCGAGTGAAACCAGAAATTGGTGTCTCGGGGCCGAAGGGTTTACGGAACTCTAAACCACAACACTGAACACTGTTGTGGGCCTGAATGCGCTGGGAAAGGGCTGCTCGATCCTCAAGCTTCCACGAGGTTTAGGTGTATAGGGCTCAGGGTTTGAGGGCTCGGAGGGTTTAGGGTTTCGGGCTCTGGGGGTTTATAAGGTTTAATTACACAGAAGGGCGAGTGAAAAAAACGGAGCAAGCGCCGGCACACGCCAGACCGGTCTAGGCTAGAGATTGCAGGTGTGAGGGGCCTTGGAGTTCATGGATTCTTAGGGGTGCGTGTGCCTGGCAAGAATAGACACAAGGCAAGGCTTCGGGCCATTCGTTCAAGAGTGGGTATTTAGGAAGCTTTTTCTAGCCCCCCCCCCCCCACCCCTCAGCAACAAACAGTTTAAATCCCGATCCAACAGCGAAACGGGCCAAACACATCCTGAAATTATCAGGCCCAATTTGTCACGTCCTACAAACACTACACGGCAGAGCCGATAAACCCTACAACCCCGAGCCATACCTAAGCCTCTTTGGAACCCTTATTCAAGCATCCACAGAACCCGTCTAGAAACTCAAACCCCTTGTGGCCGACATTAGCAAAAGCCGGAGAACAGGCTGCTGCTGCATGACGGCTGCGGCCATCCTTTTCTGCCTCTCACTTACGGTTGGACTTGCTTACGGATTTCGGGGCTTAGGCTTTTCAGGGTATAGGGTCAGTAGTTGGTCCGAAACGATTGATGGGAGATTGCGGGTCATCCTCAACCCGTCTCGTTGGCCTCGGAATGCTTGGATAGGTGGTGGTGTGAGGGTCGGACAGGTATATGCACAATGCTAGGTTGAGATGCCTGAACTTTGTAGAGTACTTTTTACAGGGATCAAAGTGAATGGGTTTACCCCTTGCTCGGCCTAAGTTCAGCCTAAGCCCGAAATCCTAAGCATGACGCTGCCGTGTCTTCATTCCGAGCTTGAAAACTTCCAGCGTCGAGTTGCGAGTGACAGGCTTCTCCGGTGAAAGGAAGCTCGGGCAAGAGGAGCCGACACTAAAATCCTAAATTCCGAAACTCCCTCAGGGCCAGCATTCCGGAAAGAGCTACACTTTACTTTCGGCAGCTCACAAGCTTATGCGAAGTGTTCGAAGGGCAGGCCGGGTTCGGGTATTGGGTCGGTGGAAAATGCTGCCCGTGCTTCCAATACTGTGAAACGCGCTACTCCAGTGGTTTAGGGTCTAGAGTTTTCAGCCCCCTACATAAACCCTGAGCACTCAACCCTAAACCCTAAACGTGTGGCCTTCTATAACAGGCCTTGGCATGCTCCCTCAAGTCCCTTTTCCCCCCTTCCCATCAACGAAACGCTGTTTGTGTCACGCCGAACCCTTGTCCTCAGTCTCCAACATCCCCTTCCTAATAAGCGTCCCCATGCTCCCAACGGCCAGCGTTTATACAGAAGTCCCCCAAAATATTCACCAATACTATTTTGGGGGTTCCTTATGATCAGTATAGTATAATGGGCCCCCAAAACCTGTTCTAATTATTAAGGCCCGTATATTAAATCTGTAATTACCGGGAGACCTGGTCTGTAAGTCCAAGAAAAGCTCTAAGACCAAAACCCGAAACCTGCGTTGCCGACCAGGGAGCCACGAGAACGGGACAAAAACTGGGCAAAATCTGAAGGGAGGTCGCAGAGCCGACAAGCGACGGCATCCAAAGCTTTCATGTATTGGGGTTGAGGGGTTTCGAGTTCAGGATTTAGGGTTTCGACTCACACGCTCGCAAGCTGCAGGCATGGCAATAAGTGTCCGAGATTGCTACGTGGATTAGGGTTTAGGGGTTTCGGGTTCAGGGTTAAGTGGGCATTTCTGCGGCGTAGGGCTTAAGGTTCAACGGTTCTCGGGTTTAGGTTGCAGTTGGGAGCCTAGGGCTTGTCTGCTGCACGTGGGTTGGGGTCCCAAGCTGGAGAACGGACAAATATCTAGTGGTGATCCCTGCGGCTGGGGCTTTCAAGGTATCAGGGTCTTAGGGTTTGAGGATGCCTGCCAAGCCAAGTTCTTGGTCAGACTGAGTTGTACTTTGCTGTTGCTACTGACCTGTACAGGGGATCGACATGCTCAGTCGGCAAACCCGCCAAGGCTCGAAAGCCTCATGTCTGAATCCCGCCCGAAAGTAACATCGGGACTGTCAAGAAATAACATGGGTTTCTGGGGTATACTATTGAAGTAACACGACAAACAACCGGAAGGAGTATTGCTTGTAATTACTCTGGCTTTTGTTTACTGTGACCTAGTGTATTCAAGGACCCGTGTAGAATGTTCTTTACACCACGAGGCATGTAAATGCACCTCGTATTGCGGCACTCTGAAGTTACCCTAACGAAAGCTTCAGCTCTAAACCCAAGATTATGACGCGCGCCCTGAAAGCTTGGTCTGAACATTGCCGAAAATTAAGGCATCCCTAACATGGCACAGCCCGAAATAAAAGGATCACTCGGCTTAGACACACACCCAAAAAGGGGGCACCCCGAATTTCATGCAAGACGAAGCGCAAGAGACGCGAAACTGTAAAGCCACAGCCCTGAACCCTAAAGCCCAAATGCACCTGTAAGCCTTATATAAGTCGTAAAACAGCAACCCTCAAGGCGTAACCCAAACTCGAAAACCCTGAACCCCTGAAACCTAAACCAGAAATTACCCTACGACCCTACAACCTAGACCCCAAAACCCTAAACCCCTACAGGCCCTCAACCCCAAACCCTGTGCCCCTCAACGATGCTTCTACCCATAGGCACCACAAGTAGTTCCTTTTTGGGATTACCTTATAGGATTCTAAATATGAACCCCACAAACGAACTACTACATATGGGGCGTATGGGTAAGCCTGTCTTGGCGTCAGACTTTGCACTTCGTGCGCCCGTGCCGCAAGCCCTGGCGACTTCGCTAGCATCCTGCCGTGCGTCCAGGTTTTGTCGGCTATCTATCGGATCCCATACGGCGGCTTTAAGGCTTCACTGGGTGTGTTTATATGTTTTTTTGTCGAAGTGTGCTCATGCGGATTTACAGGGTCTTTTGGCATTGCTTTCGGGCTTTATAAGGCTTAATATGGTGGCCGTAAGGCTTTGAAGAAAGCTTAAGGGCTTTAGGGCATGCTGTAGTGCCGGTGTTGGCAGATGGGGAAATACTACTGCACAGCATCCGCAGCTATACCCTTAACACTTAAGCCCCAAAGCCTAAAAACCCTCCCTAACCCTAAACCCTCCCTAACCCTAGACCCTAACCTACACTTCTATCCTCTTGAGGCTGCTAGGACCTCAGGGTTGAAGGCCTTTGAGGCTTCTTGCAGAAGTCAAGGGGTCCTAAACCCTAAACCCTAAACCCTGAAGCCTGAACCCTAAACCCTAAACCCTACACCCTATAAACTGCTAGGGCTTCCGTAGAAAACAGCACACGGGTCTCGGCCCGGTCCTTGGCTTCTTTTGAGGGATTTAGGGCTCGGGGTTTAGGTCTGCAGGGTTTGACAGTTGTTGCAGTCTTAGGTTTCACGAAGAGCAGGGTTTAGGGTTTAGGATTTAAGGCTCAGGGGTTTAGGGTTTAATCTCTGGCTGACTCTCTCTCCCTCTCTCTCGTTCCTTCTCTTTGTTTTGTCTCATTCTCGCTCTCTCTCTGTCTTCTTTCCTTCATTCATAGGGCATAGGGGACTGTTTAGGTTCCCCGGCCTAGTGGCGCCCCATATGTTATGGGGCCTCGAGGGGACGTGAAAGTGTTGGGAATGATAGAGAGAGTCTTTCTTTCGCCAGTGTTAGGGTGTAGAGGGTTGCCCCCCTACACCGCGCACGGGTGTGCGAGACTCTCTCTCTCTCTCTTTCTCTCTCTCTCTCTCTCTCTCTCTGTCTCTTCTGCAGATAGTTTGAGGAACGCGATGTGTTTGGAGCTTTACAGTGGTAGACGCCCCAATGTTATTCAAAACCGCCGCAGCCCTAAACTCACCCCTAAAAGCCCAAATCCTCGTGCCCTTTCAACCCCTTTCAGGAAGTCTGAAGGGCTTGAAACGACCCCATATCGTGTAGCAACAGATGTAGGACCCCCTACGGCTGCCTTTTTGTCTATCTCTCGCACGGCCGGCGCGTCTAATGCATCCACAGGCAGCTCAAGGATCAACACCGACTCCACATGGCGCGTCTGTGGAAACAGGTCGAAGGGTCCTCGGCACCGTACGCTTCCTACCACCTCCACTTGAGAGGGTTGACATTCAGATTCGGAGAGCAGTGGCAAGGAAATTTACTTTAATCATATCATTCCAAGTCCTATCTTCGTGGCAAAGGATTGAACGTCCACCCAAAACATATGCATGAGATGTGTCAAGACGTATGTTGACAACTGTTTAAGACCCCGTCCTGCTCGCTGAAAAAGCTCAGGGCTTGGTATGCGGGTTGCCCTTGGAGTTGATGTGCTCATCGCTCTACTAACTACGACTGCTACTCCTCCTCCTCTTCCTCCCCTCCACCCTCCTCGACAGCAGTCCTAGACACCCAGGTTGAGTCATGTGGAGCAGCCGATTAAGAGTTTAGGGGGAGTCCGCACACTACAGCTGGCAAGAGTAAACTGAACCCTCAATCTCACAAACCCGAGAAACGCAAGGCCCCAAGGACTGAAAGTGCTGCCAACGGCACGAACTGCCTGGGGCTGGTAGCCGGCGGCATGGAGTCTTCCGAGGTCGCGGGCCTGCTTCAGGGTGCCTCTTGGTGTTACTGCAGGGGCCTTCAGAAATAGAACCAGTTTCGGGGTATATTTTATGCAAGTGACAATGATAATGAGGATCAGGGGGTAATCTTACGAATCATTGTTAGCTTCTGCATTGAGGGATTCCATGGTTTCTGACACTCGCTCTCGGAACTGGAGACGCACGCCGAACAAAGATCCACATGGTTTATCATGGTTTAGGGTTGCAGGCTTTAGTGTTGGTCCTTTAAGCTGGCACCATAAACGAACAATTCAAAACCAAGACCCTAAACCCTAAACCCGTTCTGAGTGGACACGAATCTCGCAGTAGTTCGGTGGGGGCCGCAGGGTGATTTGACAGCCCTGCCCCTGAGAATCTGCACTTTTTCAAAGGGAGCTTCGACCCCTGAAGCCACAGGAGACACATGAGGGTTAGGGTTCAGGGTTTAGGGTTCATCTGAGGGTTTCAGAACTTCGGGCGTGTCTTTGCTTTTCTGAAACTCCCATATGCAGTCATCTTTAAGCGGACTTCGGGAACCCCATTGATGTGAAAGGCACGGGGTAAACCTGCCACTTTCTGTGAGATCTCTTCATCTACTCCCTTCTTTGTCGATAAGCCTGTGGTTTATTGGAGTCGGGATAATGTTGCAAGTGAAGAGACACCACATCAGGGACATGTGTAGGTGGACCCTTAAACCCGAAACCCTGGCCCTAAACCCGGTACAAACCCAGTCAGAAGCCCCGGCACTCCGCAGGCCTGCGTGGCAGGATCACAAGATACCTGAAAGCAATCACTTCTGCGGGTGTCTGGTTGTTGCGTGCCGGAACTGTTGCTTGTAGTTTTGGGTTCTGGTTTTGTGACAAACCCTAAACCCTAAACCCTAAACCTTTTGTGACCAGGCCAACATAAATGCCAACGGTCTAGGGTTCGTGGTCTGGGCCCGGGTTAAGTTGAATCCTGCACCCTAAGCCCTTTAAGCCCCATGTAAGCTATTATGTAAACCCCCAAAGCCTATACCCTTTAACCCCTACACCCTAAACCCTAGAAAACCTGAACCCCTACATCCCCCAACCCCTAAACCCAGAACCCTAGAGAAACTAAACCCCTACACCCTCCAACCCCTAGCCCTAAACCCTGGAAGCCCTTAACCCCTACATGCTTCAACCCCTATAATTTAATAATCGCTAGACCCTACAAGCCCTAAACCCTAAGCCTGTCTATCCCACAGAACCCTAAATTTGTCAATGGTCTTCCAGGGCGAGGTCCAAATCTTCGCGGGCAAAGCCAATATCAGCGAAACTTTCTTGCCCTCGAAGATTTGGGCCTGCAAATCTTCGGTTGCAAGGCCCGAAATCTTCGCGGGCAAGCCCCAGCCCAACTCATTGTGGAGTTTCGGTTTTTAGGTTTCGGGCATGGGGTTTTGCTAGGATGGGTCCGAGGGCGGGGTGGGGATTTTCCGTTGCTGGTCTCGTTTTGGGTTTCGTTAAGGGTTCTGCTTAAGGTTTCAGGGTTCCTTTTAGGGTTCCGTTCAAGGCTCGTTTAGGGCCTGTTCCTTTTCGGATTCCGTTTAGGGTTTCAGGGTTTCGTTTAGGGTCCCTCAAGGTTTCGATTAAGGTTTCTTTTGGAGCTTAGGAAAGGTGGTAAACTTTCTTAATGCTATGGGATTCTTTTGGGCAGACGTCTAAACAACGAGCTCGAAAAGAGACGCTGCTGGACCCTAAACCCTAAACCCTTAACCCTAAACCCTAAACCCTTAACCCTTAAGCCCCAAACAAGGCCGACAGAAACTCGCAGAAAGTCATCCGAGCCACATAGACCACGCGCCTCGGACGCCATTCCGCTAGAAGATCACCTCAGAGTCTGGCAGCTTAACTGTTTGTCTATACCTATATATATATATATGCACATGCATACCCAACTAACAAACACAAACTACGTAACGGAACTGACTAACTAACTAACTAACTAACGAACGAACGAACGAACTAACCAACCAACCAGCTAGCTAACTAAGTAACTAACGAACGAACGGACGAACTAACTACCTCACTAACTAACTAACTAACTAACTAACTAGCTAGCTGGCTAGCTAACTAACTAACTAACTAACTAACTAACTAACTAACTAAATAACTAACTAAAATAAACAAACATACTTACAAATATATACACATACATATACGAACACTGTATTCTATTGTGGCTGTATATATATATATACATGAGGAGTCAGAAGCATTGCCAATACTGTTCCATGCAATGTTCCTTGATACTACTGTGACACAATTTCGGCAAAACTGAAAGGGGGCTTTTACAAAAGGGGGCTTTTTCGGGATTCAGGTTGGTCGACAACTAGGGTTGGTGAAATCGGACGTCTACCGGCAGAAGGTCAGGACGATCGAGGTGGCTTCGCAAGGGGGACGTTTTGCAAA